AACTCCCTGAACCCTAAACCCTAACCTGCCCTCAAAAACCCGAAACTGATTTCTGGGAAGCGTGCCCGAAGTGACCCGAACTCTCCGAGGTTCCAGGTCGACCTCAACCCGCTCAACCTAATGGGAGCGGTGGGAAGACCCAGCGGGGGCTTCCTGTTTTTGGTAGCGCGCGGGTTGCGTGGGTGCGGTGGGTGGGCGGGGGGGGGGGGAGGGTTCTTGTTGGTTAAGGGTTTGGAGATTAGATTTAGATTTAGGTCTTAAGGTCTACAGACTGTTGGGTGCAATGGTGTAGGGGTCTAGGGTTGAGGATACTTACTTCACAAATCTCAACAGAATTTGCACTTTGTGAGTGCTTTCTTCGACGGGTATTGGAGGTAAGTCTAGACTCTTTGCAAGTTGTGTCAGGCGTTGTTGTTGTGATTCGAAGAGACAGGGCCGTAGTGGGAAGGTGCGCCTTCCCTGGAGGGTAATGTTTCGGGGCTGGGGCTGAAGGCTTACATCTTGATGATTTTGGCTTCATTGCATCTTAAGGTGTTAAAGTTTTGGTTAGTGAGGAGGAGGGCTGCTTAGGGTCTGAATTGCAAATAGCCAAGAAAGTCCCACCACCTCCCCAGACTCTGAAGCCTAAGGTTTTCTGAAAGCTACCGCATCTTGGGTCAGGATGTTGCGGTGAGTTTTGCCATAAGCATACTGTTATCATTGGCATCATTCTTGCAATACAGAAGCCTAAACCATATGTGGAAATGGCTGGTGCAGCTCAAGGCCCTTTAAGAACCAGAAACCATTAATTCCAAGAAACTCCGATTGAAGCGGTTGGAGGCTTTGGTTCTGCTGGCAACCTCGATCTATGCAGTAGCAAGCTACCGACAGGCTCTCAGTTTTGGGATTTTCAGAAGTGCAGGGTGAAGGGATTGGCCACCGTGGGTCTTAGTCTTGCGTCGGGGCTTTTTCGTTAGTTCTCCACCTGGAGCTGTCACATGGGGATTCATGATGCGTGAGAAACACCAAAATCCCAAATCCTCAATGAGTTATAGCTACGGCTATAGCCTGAAGGTTCCAGGGCTCTGGGCACATCTGTAGCGTTTGGGGCCTAAGGCGAAGTTAGGGTTTAGGGTCGAGGGTTTAGCTTAGTTGCTTTCTTTCTTTTTTTGTTGTTTTCCTGATCCAGGTGTCTTGCCGGAATTTTCTGTGGTTTCAAAGCTTTCCGACTCAGTGGTAGGAGTGGGGTCCCCCCATAAGCAACCCAGAATTCAGCATTTTTCCTTAAAGGATACAGGATTCTTACTGTCACCGCATTTGAATATTCATTGAATTCTGGAGGGAGGGCTGCTTAGTGTCACTGCAGGAAATGTATTGAATTCTCGAGCGCTTCTTACTGTCACTGCAGGAATATCCATTGAATTCTCGAGGGCTGTTTGATGACCTGATTAACGAAAAACTCTTTCATTAGTGGTTTAACGAGTTTCCTTGGATTGTATATGGCTTCGTATTCCAATTTAAGGAATATCCCGCAATGACGGGACATTGGGTTTTAGGTACCTAGTTACTATGGCCTAGAGTGCTTAGCAAACAAATCACATACATTGAGCACAAGTGTAGAAGCCTCATTCACAAAGGCAGACAGAGGGTTCTCAAGTGGCCTCCTACATCGTCCCAGACTGTCATCTGCCGGGCAGTGTGCTTTAAGGGGTATGTCGTCATCCGAACATGCCGCGCCGCTATTCCGTCTTCAGCACGCAGAGCCCCCTAACGAACAAAGCCTCCAGCCGAAGTCACCACAACGGATGCATCAGGCACGACCGGGGCCTGAAGTGATTGGAATTGAATAGGTCTTGGGGTCAGTTGAAATCTCTTCTGTTCTATTCTGCTATAACTGCTATAACCGTTTCCACTCCATAGTAGTATGTCCAGAACTTCCGTGAGTGTTCTTCCTCTAAGCCATGATCTGCATGATGAGTTTGCAGTTTTTCGTTTGGCCCTACGAACTCAGGCCGATCTCTGTCCCCACCACGGAACCAAAGATCCAACTTCATTTCGAAGCCCGGCATCCCATGCATGGGTCCCCAAGCCCTAAATCCTAAACTACACATCCCACCCGTGAAATCCAAATTCAACAAGCCCTTAACGCCCCAAGCATCCTTAAGCCACAAGCCTTTCAACCGAAACGCAGCACCTCCAACCCTAAACTCCCAAATTCTAAACGCCCAAACCTTCATCCTTGAACCCGAAAGCCCTAAAGCCCGAATCCCTACAAACGACAATGGGTTGTGACTTGCCTGAGATAGGTCCTTGGAGCCACAGGTAAACTCCTAGTCTCATCAACCTTATGGTAAAGCCTTGTACGTAAATATAACATCATGAAGCACTTGTAAAACCCATTATGCCTTGTGAAACACTATCAAACCATATCGAACAACTACATCAGTGCAGCCCCAAGCCCCAGCACACCGAGGATTGGGGCATTTGGTGCTTGACTGTTGTTTTCTTTTTGACCAGTGGTTTTGCAGGCCTTTATAGGATGTGTGGAGGGTTTATGTGGTTTGGGGTTTAGATCTCGGGTTTTGGTTTGTTTGCGGGTTTGGGAGTAGGAGTTCGGGCTTCAAGACGTTAGGGTTTTGGGGTTTTGGGCTTAGGGAGCCTCGCATTTGAACCTAAACCCCGCATACCTACAGCCTAAACCCTAAAGCCTAAGCCCGCTAGAAATCCCGAAGCCGCCCAACAGCCTCAAGCCAAGGGACAGCCCGGTCTCGTCCCCGGTCATGCCTTCTGGGACGAGGGTTTAGGGTTTCGGGTTTCTCAATTCTTGCGGCGTGCACAATGAAGCAATAAGTGGGCTGATGTTTTAGTTCGTGGAGCCTCTGGGTAGGTAGTTCAGATTCCGGGACTGATCAACCCCTCAAGGTGCCCCCCGAACCCCAAAGTCCTAGCCAGCCTCGGGTTAAATGATCCTGTTGTGGCAATGCGGCGTACCTCCAACACCCCTGAATTCAGACAGAAGCGCTAGGTTATCGCGGCATCGTTGTTTTGACTAAAGCATACAGTTTCCTTTTATGGAGGGATCCTTATGTAGGTGAGGGCATACTCCTGAATTACTTGGTTTGGGAGTCCCGAGGGGCGACCCCAGCTATCCGTCAAAGTCAGCTCTGTCTTCCTAGGTCCCGAAAGCCCGCCACCATTCGCCAAACGGCCCGAAAAACCTACTGGTCCTTAAGGGGAGCAGGAGAGTGGATCCCTGTCATAGACTCCATATGATTCCTTAGAGTAGTCCTTATATTCCCTCCTCCACTCTCCCTTAAGCGCCACTGAGATGACTAGTGAGTGCTTTCCGTTTTGGGTCTCCCGGCTTCTGCCCTTTGCATTTCCGGATTTCCTTCTTACATCCTGAGTAAAAGGGGCAAAGTGTAACCTTATGGCGAACAGGGAGCCGAGTTTCATATTCCCTATAGAATCATGACAGAATCTATCGAGAAACATCGATTCCAACTACTAAGGCTCCTAGACTACGGCATTTTGTACGACTGTCAGAAAGAGCCGCAGTAGTAGACATTGCTACTTGGACAAGCAACCATCAGACCAAAGTCGGTAACCAACCAAAACCCACAAGCCCGAAACCCTATAAACCGCAAGCCCTAAACACTACACCCTAAAACCTCCAAATCGGGAAGTGACGCACTAAAATCTTGATCGGAGAACCATAAAACTCTAAGCTCTAACATCACACCAAAGCCTGAACCCCTAAAGCTACTGGATCACGCAAGATGTTGTATGATGAGGATAGCCATCAAGAAGCCGGACTGCTGTTGCCGCCCGGCTGTCTTAGTTCTCCGCATGACTAGGAACATGGTCACGAACGCTGAGGATTCATGGAAGAATAGTACGAATTAAGGACTAGGATCTAGATAGAGTCTATATAGGGTTGGCACCTGAAACCGACAAACCTCAATAGGGTTTAGGGTTTAGGGTTTA